GGGGGGGGGGGGGGGGGTCACATTTACAGGATCAGAGGAGTCACACATTTATGCAGCCTTCTTCTATTTTTAATCAGCCCAGTTTGATGTCTATTCTTGAGCCACTCCCTGATAGTGAGAAAATGAGTCTTCCTTTCTGGAACAGTGTCTCTTGGCTCCAGGCAGCGTGATGATGGTGACACAAAGGATCTTCTGTGTCACTTGGCTGTGATGCAGCAGAGTGGAGCGCGCCACATGGGTTGCATGGAGTCAGACTCTCCTCCACCCATCTGGTTTGGAGGGGCGCTGTGCTGCGCCCTCATGTCTTCTTGTTATAAAACAATCAGAGAGGATGCATGTGGATTACGGAGTCCATGCAGATATTTCTCACTATGTAAAAAGAGGAAATAGACCTGAAATTGAATTGCCCGTGAACCTCAGTAACAGGAAGCTAATCTCAGACAAAAAGACAAAATAGCCACAACGAATTGCATCATCATGCCATGATTAATGACATGACAGTGTTAAAGCAGCCACACAGTGCGGCCTATTCAGCTATTTATCAGGAGTGTGTTGTTCTTACTGCAGGTTTTTCACACAGGTAAGAGTTATTTCTTCTAATAGCACCATCTGTTGGCAGAAAATGCCCCCATTCTGTCCTGGTGCATGCAGCCTATAGTCCACATGTTCAATAATAAGTGTACGGTCACCAGAATCAAATGTAATGTGTATATGATACCAACACATTAGAGACACCACTGCTTCACTGTGGGCTGTCCTCATTTACTGTGAGCCTCCCTGTATTCCCCTGTAGTGCCAGCCTAATTAGCCAACCACAAGAAGACTCTAACTACATTATTTTAATCATTTTCGGTTAACATTTGAGGAGGAGAGAACACTAGAGAGACTGGAAAATAGATTCTAAATGATTTGAAGGGAGAGCTATGGGTGGGCAGGGGGATGAAATGTTGACACAGAATAGTGAAGCTCCCCTCTACCCCTCTAATCTTCCCAATAACCCCTCCGGGTCCTGTCCCCGGCGCACTGCGGGGACCTGGACTTAATACCAGCTGTGAGTCAAATTAATTAGCTGAACATACCCTGGTCAAAGCCAAAGGAGACCTCAATAGTAGCCTGATTCTGATTGTAGCAGTCCAGCTGCCCCAAGCAAAAATGTGAGGGCAGAAGAGGGCCACAGGGAGTGATTAACTGAAATGATCCGCTGTAGTAATTTATAGTCACTGTAAAAAAAAATAAGAGGCAATTAATCTCACTCTATTCCTCTTGTGATGGGCCTGTATCATCGACCAGGCCTATAGGGATTCAGAGGTCAAATTGTCAAACTATGATTCAACCCAACCACACCTCCGTTTTTCTCCATCGTAAACACATTTTAATCATTGCGCAATAACAGCTGGGTTACTGGTTAATAAAGAATTATTACTTGGAACAGGAAGGGTTGGGTTTTTACATGTATGTGCGTTTTCAGAAGAGCACAAACAGTTGTTAACAGTGTATCTAAGTGGTGATTTAGTGTGAATTAACTCGCTCACTACACAAAGCTAAAACATCTGCTGAAAACTGTATTATTCTTATCTCACCATTACATTTGGGAATATTCACGGGTCTTAGGCACTGTGCCATCACAGATGTTCCTGCCTTACAGTATCAGCGAATTTCAGGAAAACAGGTTAGCTTTGCACTCCTGGATCCCAAAAGAGAAATACAAAGATGAGCATGAGGAGCCTCTTATTATTGTATAATCATACTTGGTTCATTGTATTATTCTATAAAGTGATCTGATTTCTTAATGGGACCTTCGGCGTAAACCCCACCCTGTCAATTTGAGCATTAACATTTTTATTTGGTTTGAGCGTTGGAGGCCACCCTGCTCATTACACTACAGCTCCACTGTGTAAACAGAGAGCAGCATGAAAGGCTGTGAGGGGCCCCTGCATGCCTGTGGGAGTACGGGGCGTACTTCATGGTTTATGCTTGAAAAAGAGCCGTAATCTTCCTGCTAATCTGGGGCTTGGTGTGGAATTCCCCTCGCATGGAGGGTAAAAGCTTTCAGGGGAGCTGACATACACTATGTTGGCTTCTGTTTTAAAAACTGGGCAAGCTACATAAAGATAAAACATGTGACTTAAAAATAATTTTGTACTGATTTATTTCCCCACCTCTCTCAAATTCTACTAATGTAGAATGTTTTGTTGGGGATTTTAAGTAACTATTGCCCCCTACTGCTCTAAATGGGAAATGACTGAATTTACATTCATTCACAATTTAAAATAAAGCCTATAAATTACTTAAACTGTAAAAACCACTCTTGACAGCTACTTATGGCCATCAATAGGTGCTCAGTTCTGTGGGAGGGTCTCAGGAAATACACGTTCAAAAATTTTGACCTACCTGTATGATTGCACGTATTACCCTTGTGCAACAACTAACCACACTCTGTGTAATCATGCATCGCAGAAAATAGGGCAGTTCTCATGAGCAAAAGCAAAAGTAAAAGTAAGTCTCATGTTTCTTGCAGCTTTCTGAGCTCAAAACTTTCAGTGTTTTGCATACAAACACAAACATTTGCAAGGCAAATCATCAAACTCCAACATCCAAATGTACATAATGGTTCAGTCCCTTCCCTCGTCTGTTTGTCAACCAGTGTTGTTGAAGATAAGCAGTCTGTCATGCCTGTGCTTGCGCTTGTCTGCCATCTACCTTCCCAGCCCTACAATTACACAGTGAATTAAACTGCTGATATTAACTAATCTTGATTTATAGTGCATTTAAAAAAACAAGACACACACACAGGTTCACTTTTTAAATATTTTTATACTCCAATCACACACACCAGGACAATGTTGTGTGAGAAAATATTTTTCATAAAAAAAGGGTTTAAAAAGTGCAGAAACGAAGATACATGGATATTCCACACATACAGGTACTGACTTTACATTTTCTATTTCACAGTCCGATTTTCATGCGACATAAGGGTGGAACTCTGATTACAACTGCATGACACAAACTCAGACTTTTTTTCGAATATGCAGGATGTGGATGTCTGGACTACTGAACTCTGGGTCTTGCTTGTCTGAAGGGATCTCCTCACAGCTGAAGTTTTGTTGCAGCAACTAAAAGACACAGTAGACCACCATGACTCACTGTTTGTTGTTTTTTTAGCATTTACAAATGGGACGTACAGTTGGGTTCTTACTTCAAAAAACTGCTGTTCCACTTTTGGGTTGACGCCCTCGGTGCGTTGCTCATAGCAGCAAATAATGCAGGTCTCCGGTCCAGCGAGCAGCTTCAAGCTCTCCACCAGTGGAACAATAGACTGTGGGAAAAGAAATAAGTCACAAAAGGTCAAGTCAATTCTTGCAAACGGTCATGTTTATACTGAAAGGCCTAAGCAGAGCACTATAGTAAATTACCTGCTCATAATAGATGCAGTCTGCCATAAGGACATAATCTGGGTGAGGCATGAACTCAGACACATCTTCACCCCTTTAAGGAGAGAAGAAAATCAAATTGTTAGCATTTGGACATGTCTTAAAATACCTTGAACATGCAGCTTGGATATATGATAATCCAATCAAATAATAGCCTGTGTAAAAAACAAAATATAAGTACAAACCATTTCAGTACCTTGACAGTAATTGAGCCACTACTGATAAGTGCCCGGTTGTCCTGGACGTTGACCAACAGGAGGGTCTGCAAGTCCTCCAGGTCTGTCACAGTAACTTGAGCTCTATGGGATTGAATAACACGTATTTTTAGCGTTATGTTTTTAGTTTTAATCAATAAAAGGGTGTCAATGCCAGCCACTGCATAGCAAGGGAGTACAAGCGAACCAGTCGTTAAACTGGAACCCGTTTGGTGACACAAGAACATGTATTTTAGTGTTTAAAAGCCAGAGTAATATGTGACAAACTAACCAGTGATCTCACCCCAGTGTTGCTGCCATGAGACCAACAACTCCCGTCCCAGCTCCCAACTCCAGCACACTGCTGCCCGCCCACACGTTCACCCCCGAGGACGGATCATAAAACTGTTTCGTCTCTAAATATTTTGCTAGGACGATGGCTGCGTCCCAGACAACACAGCCAACATCTCCCAGATAGCACTGTTTCACTTTTAAGGTACAACCGTCGTTTTTTTCAATTTCTCTCACAAAATAACGACTGTCATCAGCGTCGGCCGCCATGTTGGCCGCCGCAGGAACAAGGAGACAACTTCCGGGATGGGTTTTCCAGAATAAAAGACAGATTGAGTAGAAAACTTGCAAATAATAATATTTAAGAATTCAGTTATTCATTCTGTAAAAGACATGACCAGGCTTTTAGCTGTACTGCAAAACAGTATTTAGATATAAATTGATACAGTTTCTTTTTTTTGTCAAATAACAATTATTATAACAATTATACAAGTATTTTCAGAAAAAAGTCTGCCAGAGGCTACACTTGGGATATCTTCAGAATAAAACACGATGCTTATACTCTAGTTCCTCTTCTGGACAAAACAAACTCTAGGTTAAATGTTTTCCTTGACAGATGAAAGTAAAGGAGCAAAGCAAGTAAGGCCTCAATCCTTATGGTAGCTTCTACAATACAATTTTAAATAGCATAGCATTCTAATATGATGTTGTACTGGCAACTACAACTAATAAAGACATCTAAACAATCACAAAAAAAACGTGGCAATTGTTTTACTGAGGATACTTTCAGTGCATTCAATTAGTTTAGCCTTTGGTCAATTGTTATTTGACTGGATATTGTATATTTCTGTGTGACATAAGCATTGCATTATGCAAACTGATACAGTTTTATTGGTGGTTTGAGGGTTGCTTCATAAATCTACCTACCGTTAAAGCTATTCCATTATTTTGTCTATTCATACATCCCAAAAGGTAACTAGATCAATCATCCAAATTGAATCATACACTACACACACATTTCCACTGTAGTCATTATCCTGTTCAACAATTCCCTGTCTCTGTCTATGTGCCTCCTTAAAGCATTTATCACCAGTAAAAGGTTTTTTATTTCATCCAATCTGGAAAAAAAACCAAGGTTAACATGTGGCTATTAATATGAGACTCCTGAGACTAGTCTGACATTATGTTATTCAGGCGTAAAGCTTATTTTTTTATGAAGCATATAAGCTCATTATCTATGGAAAGGGCACATACACACCTTTACTCTTTAGCAATTATGTTATCTAAATATCTTTTTTGTGTCCTTTTTTTTAATTTTAATTTTTTACCTTTTATATTGTTATGTAGGATCTCCAAGATTTTCGAAATGAGCAGTAAGGTGCAGCTCCCTACTTGAGGAAGAGGGATAACTTACATGCACCATAGACAAAGGGGGTTGTTGGGGGCCCAGAATCAATCAATCAATAAATCTACCCACCATTTATCGCCCAGCACCTCTAGTTTTCTGCTAGGAACCACAATTGTTATCTTATTAACGACTACGACTATAAACCCAATCTATTAACACACAAAAGTGTGACAGACATGCGCAGATGATAGCTGCGGACGTAAGGATCGACGTTCTCATAGTCGCGCGCAAATGTCACTCGTTGTGTGTGGCGGTTTTCTGTAGCTAGCTTCCCGTGTGACTCACAGAGGCCCTTTTCAGCTTTAACTAACACATTCACTGACTTTTACACATGGACACATAAGTTCGGTAATATACGTCCATTAACCTGCCTTTGCGAGGTTTTAAAATGTTCCGCAGCAGCACGGAGGAGGTAACAACCGGCGGTGACAGCCCAGAAGGCGGACAGCTGTGGGGGGTGTCCCCAGTGGACAGGAGCGGACCCAATGAAACTACCTCGTACGGCCCCGCATCAGCTTCCTCCAGTTCATCCTACCAAAGTTTAGATGAAGGCAGTACGAGCTCCAGCCACGGTCCACCACATCCCCCAGTGGCCTCAGGTAATCTTAGGGATAGCTGATAGTTTAGTATCTTTGACCTTCTCCAGCAAGGGTGGGGCCCATTGATAGTATGTATAAGGTGGGGCCCTTATGTTTACAGTCAATGGTGGAACCACACACAATGAAGTTACAAAAATAACATTTTCAATATTAAATTGTCTATTTCAATAGTGGAACATTTGTAAGACTTTAAACCTTGTCTCCTGACACAGACCGTCTCTTCATATTTTGTCTTGACATAGCTCCGCTCCATCACAGCGTCAGGTTGGGCAGGACAAATACATCACTCCTCATGACTACTTCAGACAGCTCCTCCATCCGCAGCCATGGAGGAACACCAGTACTCAGGAGAACTGTGGGGTCACATCCTGCACGGACACCGCTGACTGATCACACCGGTACTCCAGCCCTAACTGTTCCAGTGGGTTTCAACATGGCTGAAGCTGTGTTTCTCATTCTGATTTCTCTGTTTTTGCAGCAACAAGTTGCTCCTCTGCGACCACAACCTCCGGTGCCTCTGTGATTGTGGCAGTTGTTGAAGGCCGCGGTTTGGCCAGGGGAGAAATTGGCATGGCTAGTCTCAACTTGAAATGTCCAGAGCTTGTACTCTCTCAGTTTGCAGACACTGGGACATATGCCAAGGTAACCCACACATTGTCTAAAGCTATAAACTTCATGCTTGATTGACTGTTAATCATAGCCAAATAGCTCTCAAATAGTGGGAACTTCTGTCTCAGTCATGTATTATTGTTCTTAAGGTCATAACCAAGATTCATATCTTGGTGCCGCTGGAAATACTGATGCCAGACACGTCCAGTGAGAAGGGGAAAGGGACAAAACTGTTCAACCTCATCACAGAGAACTTCCCGGTACCAATGCAGAATAGATGTTATAAGTAAAACACACAAAGCATACAAACAAATAACCACTTTCAAAGGTCCAGTGTGTAACATTTAGGAGGTCCTATTGGCAGAAATTATATTGGTATGTTTTCATTAGTGTACATTATATCACCTGAAAATAAAAACTGTTGTGTTTTTGTTACTTTAGAAAGAGCCATTTGTATTTACACACACTGCGGGTCGCCTCCAGTGGGAACCACCATGTTGAACTGCCATTTTCTACAGTAGCTCAGGACAGATAAACCCAAAACTGTCTCTAGATTTGTGTGTTCTGCAGCCCCGTAGTTTCTACCTCATGCTTGGAAGGGGACGGTGAAGCAAGTGAACTGCGATCTGCAACTACACTGCTAGATGCCTCTAAATCCTACACACTGGACCTTTAAAAGCAAAAGTAGCTGATTCATTCACTCTTGGTTAGCACTACTGTGAACTTTATATGTGGTGTCTCACCTATGGCACACTGTGTTCTTGTTAACTATTAGAGTGAAGTAATATGTGCATTTTATTATTATTGGTCAGGGAGTAGCTTTCACTGCTATCCAAAGGAAGTACTTTAATGAGAGGAAAGGACTGGAGTACATTCAGCAGCTGTGTGCTCCAGAATTTGGCACTGTCATCATGGAAGTGCAAGCTAAGTACGCCACTGAGTACAATAATGTATAGAAATTGCTTTACTATAACACTATAGTTTTTTTTTATCACCAAATGTCGTGATTTGTTCAGGTACTATTGCCTAGCAGCGGCAGCTGCTTTGCTGAAATATTTAGAGTTCATCCAGAACTCTGTCTATGCTGCCAAGTCTCTCAAAGTGAGCTTTAAAGGGAGCGAACAGACGGCAATGATTGACTCAGCATCTGCTTCTAACTTGGAGTTGGTGGTCAATAATAGAGACCACAGGTAAGAGGGCCAGACTATGATAGCAATATCTTTGTATGTTGTAGTGCTTGTATAATCACAGGTATTAAGTCTGTCTGTCTCTGCTTATGTGAGTATAGGAGCGAACATAGTCTTTTAGGTGTACTCAACCACACTAAAACACCTGGTGGTGCTAGAAGGTTGCGTTCCAATATTCTGGAGCCTCTGCTTGATGTGGATACCATTAACATACGCTTGGACACCATACAAGAGCTGCTGCAGGATGAGGAGCTCTTCTTTGGCCTGAAGAATGGTCAGCAACAAGAAACACATGTTAAATATTATACTGAGAGTGTAGCACAGTAATTGAATATATGTTCTTTTGCACTCTTCAGCCATAGGCCACTTCCTTGACATTGACCAGCTGCTCTCTGTTCTGGTCCAAATCCCAAAACAAGAAACAGTACGTACAGTACTTTCATTGCCCATGATTGTATTGGAAGGTTACACTGCAATGGAATGTCTTGTCATGAAGTGGATTCATGTGTGTGTTTTAAAATGCTTAACTAAATGCCAGAAATTGCACATGCACATGTGAAATGTTGGTCTGTCTTTCTCTTTTCATGCCGTTTTCAGTACTGTTACTGTGTTTCTACAGGTTCAAGTTGCTGAAGCAAAAATTACACATGTCATTCAACTGAAACACACATTGGATCTGGTGCCACGCTTAAGGGTCTGTGTTCGTTTATATACATAAAATGAGTTTAAATTAATCCTACAACTTTTGTGTTGGAATTATAATTAAGCTTTTAACCCCACAAAAAAGTATTGCTATTTAGTTACAAGTCAAACAGTAAATCATTTAAACATTATACTTTATGAACAGATGGTGTTGAAGAACTGCAAGACAGCTCTGCTCAAGGCCTACAGCACCTCACTGGAAGACAACAGGTACTAAGCCTTGTGCTTGTGTAAGATGTACTATTGTGTGCTGTCTACAGACTTCTTCCACTGTACAGTATATATTTGTGTCCCCCTCAGGTTTGACATGATCCTCGAGCAGATCAAGACAGTGATTAATGATGACACCACCTACCTGAAGGGGAGTCTCAACATGCGCACCCAGAAGTGTTATGCTGTCCGCCCCAACATCAACGAGTTCCTCGACATTGCACGCAGGGCTTACACCGAGATAGTGGACGACATTGCAGGTGTTTGTTCTGGCTGTTCAGTTCATAACTTCGGTTTACAATGTTTGCATTAAATATTTATACCCCAAAGCTGAGTGGCATTCTGTTTCACAGGGCTAGTCAACCAGATGGGGGAAAAATATGGTTTGCCAATGCGTACCAGCTTCAACTCAGCTCGAGGTTTCTTCATCCAGATGAGGCTTGAAGGAGTGGCCTTGCCTGAAGGGAAACTCCCCTCAGAGTTTATCAAGGTATTGTCCACTAAAGGCAGGGCTGGTAAGAACATTGCAAGCTATCAGACTAATTAAGAAAACAGGATAACTCAACATCAG